AAACTTAAGTGATTGTGAAGACATTTCAAAAGTGACTGAGGTCAGCAAGGCAGTTTTTAATTTTACGAGTAAGGTTACTGAGAAGTGGAAAAGTTGCAGCCGTATGTTAAAAGATTTTCGCAATAAAAATCAAAAGTGTTTAGACTCTAAAATATTTTTTTGGTAAATCCTGTCAAAAATAAACTTAATGTAAAGAAGGGACGACCAGTGAAGCTGTTTACGGAGGTTAGTAATCAGTCAAAAAGGAAAAAGGTGTCATCTTTAGTAGAAAATTATACGAAAGAGGAGTTGGCTTTTGCAACTAGTTCCAGTCTGAGGTTATCAGGTAAACGAGATGCGGCATTACTGGTAGAAAATGTCACAACAAATTCAGAGGCTACTAAAATAAAACATGCTCTTACTCGTCCTACTCCTTTGCCAATTAAATATACTCCAGAAGAGGCATTAGCTCTGTACATAAATCAAAAATTTACGGTTAGGACATACTTAGAAGTACGATCTGGAGCTAAACAGCGAAATGCTGACATATATCCATCGTATGGTTGCATTAAAAAAGCAAAAGCGGCATGCTATCCTCCAAAGGAATCTATTTTTATTACCGATTTCTCTGTGGAGGTACATCTGCAATCATTAGTGGACAAAACTGTTTTAAGACTTGCTATGGTTCAAGAAGATGTCCTGATACAAGAAGCAGCATCTGATGATAGTCTCACAATAACATATAAATGGGGTTGCGATGGGAGTGCAGGACATTCAAGATATAAACAAAAACTAACCGGTGAAGAAGGACGCATAGAAAGTGATGAGCATTTATTCGCAGTATGTTTAGTACCCTTAAGGCTTCAAACAGAAGGTGGTAAAATTTTGTGGAATAATCCCCGACCATCGTCAACGCGTTTTTGTAGACCTATAAAAATTTCCTTCCAAAAAGAAACCTGCGAACTTTCTAAACAAGAAATAAAATACGTCGAACACCAAATTAAATCTATTAAGCCAACAACAGTTTTCATCGGAAATAAAGAAAAAGAAATTTTTCATAATTTTCAACTTACTATGATAGACGGAAAAATGTTTAGTGTAATTACCGAATCATCAACGCAAACGTGTGGAATCTGTGGAGCAACCCCAAAGTCTATGAATGATATTGATCGAGTCTTAGAGAGAGATATTAACGAAAATCATCTAAATTTTGGATTATCAACTCTCCATGCCTGGATTCGTTCGTTTGAAACTTTACTACATATATCCTACAAGCTTAGCGTATGCAAATGGCAGATTCGGGATGAAAATGAAAAAAATATTGTGAAAGAAAGAAGAAGTTTGATTATACAAAGATTTAAAGCAGAAATGGGATTATTAGTAGATCTTCCAAAACAAGGTTTTGGGACGACCAATGACGGCAATACAGCCAGACGCTTTTTTCAGAGTCCTTCGATTGTTTCAGGAATTGATGAAAATTTAGTTGAACGATTTGCTATCATACTCCGAACTATGTCATGCGGATTCTCCGTCAATTCAGAAGCATTTCGAAAGTATGCGTTTTCAACCGCAAAAATGTTTGTGGACTTGTACCCATGGTATTACATGCCCTCCAGCATCCACAAAATTTTAATACATGGGGCAGACATAATTAAAAATGCAGTACTTCCAATAGGAATGTTATCAGAGGAAGCATTGGAGAGTAGAAATAAGGATTTTAAGAGATATAGACAAGATAACACCAGAAAGATATCGCGTAGTAAGACTATGGAAGACTTGTTTAATATATTACTTTTGTTATCTGATCCCTTAATATCCTCCATATCGAAAAATACACCAAACATTTTTAAGAAAAAAGACACATTAAATAAAGAAGTACTAAAACTGTTGTCCGACCCAGAAGTAAATTTTGAGCAAGGTTCTGACATATCAGACCTAGATGAAGAGTCTTACTCTAGTTTCAGTGATTAGATTTATCTGGAAGTTTGCAGTATATATTTCTCTTATTAATTCATTTATGTTATTTTACTTTAATCAGTTTTTTTTCGATGTACTAAAAACTGGTTTACGTTTTTAAATATCTATGAAATGTTAAATAAATTTGTATTGTAGTCTTGAAAATATGTGAATATAAAAAATTAGCTTAAAAAAAATCAAATAAAAAGGTTACAACCAAAAAAATTATGCACAAAGTTGTGTGTAAATAATATATTTATATTGCTAGAGTACTAATTGATAAGTAAAGATAGTATAATAAATCATAGATTTAATCCGTGATTTAATATCAGCTAGTTTGACGAAAAATCACACTGTGCGACGGGGCGGCTTCTCAGTACAAGAACAAGTACAATTTTATAAATTTGCTTCTACACAAAAAAGATTTTGGTATAGATGCCGAATGGCACTTTTTTGCCACTGCGCACGGAAAGGGTGCTTGCGATGGAATCGGTGGCGTCGTGAAAAGAGCTGCTTACCGTTCAAGTTTGCAAGACGGCAATCCAGTCAAAATTACAGGACCAAGCCAACTATATGACTGGGCAAAAGTGAATTTCGAATCAATTGAATTTGATTACTGCGACAAAAAAGAACATGAAACTCACTCTAGTCAATTACAAAAGCGTTTTTCAAAAGCGATAACTGTTAAGAACACGAGACAGTTTCATTCTTTCGTCCCAAAGAATAAAAATACTATTGAATGCAGAATTTTCTCGACTTATGACCAATCAAAGTCAATTGCAGCTATGTAAAAAACTTCAGGAAGGTTTCGCAAAATGTGCGACGTTTAAGCATGCATGTATTTAATTTAATAATTCTATAAGTAAAAAAAATGTTTCAATGTCATATTTTTCACATTCGAGAACATATTCGAACATTCATNCAACTTCAGGAAGGTTTCGCAAAATGTGCGACGTTTAAGCATGCATGTATTTAATTTAATAATTCTATAAGTAAAAATTTATGATCGTATATATATAGTGGGGATGTTTCAATGTCATATTTTTCACATTCGAGAACATATTCGAACATTCATGAGAAAATAAAAGTGGAACGATTGAAACGTGCATTTCTTTTTTGCGCAAGAAGTCAATGCGGATTGCGCGCGATCCAGCTGCGAGATCGGGCGGACACGCTGGCAAATAAAAATTCATTACGACCAAACTATATCGAAATGCACGCATTTTTTTGCATAGATGAATGCAGAAATGCTTATTGCATAAGTTGTTGTTAAAAATTTATGTCCACGAGGAGCGGAAATTGTTTAAATTTTCAATTGTCATAAAAAAATGATTTGAAAGCTAAAAAATATAAATATATTTGTAACGCAAATAATTTCATTGTATAGTTTAATGTTTTTTAAATCTGCACCCAAAAAATTTTTTCATTTGTACACTTACTTTCAAAGAAAAATAAAAATTTCCAAAACACTGCAAAAATNAAAAAAAATATATATTATATATATATTATATTGTAACGCAAATAATTTCATTGTATAGTTTAATGTTTTTTAAATCTGCACCCAAAAAATTTTTTCATTTGTAGACTTACTTTCAAAGAAAAATAAAAATTTCCAAAACACTGCAAAAATTTTCAATCGTTGATTAAAAAAACTAATTGGAATTTTGCAACAAAAATTACACAGTGTACTGTTCTACTACAAACCTCGGCACTGCCTGAATATCATTGAAAAATATTAATGTTGGTAAATTCGGTGCCGGATATATTTATATATATTTAACAGATTTTTAAGTAAACCGCATATATATATAAATTTGGCGGTCAAGATCAGTTAAATATATATATATTTAAAGAAGATATTTATATATATTTAACTGATTTTTAAGTAAACCGCATATATATATATATTTGACCATCAAAGGTAAAAGTAAAAAATTGGAAGAAGTGCATAGTGTAAACAGAGGGTAAAAGCGTTAATGAAATGTGAAATAAATATAATTGGAAGAAGTGCATAGTGTAAACAGAGGGTAAAAGCGTTAATGAAATGTGAAATAAATATAATTGGAAGAAGTGCATAGTGTAAACAGAGGGTAAAAGCGTTAATGAAATGTGAAATAAATATAATTGGAAGAAGTGCATAGTGTAAACAGAGGGTAAAAGCGTTAATGAAATGTGAAATAAATATAATTGGAAGAAGTGCATAGTGTAAATAGAGGGTAAAAGCGTTAATGAAATTTGAAATAAAGTGGCAATACCAGCGATTTGAGGTTATAATAATTTTGGCAGGCGCAAAGTTTGTTTACTCTGTTTTATTAACGAAATATATAAAATAAAAGTGAAAAAATTATTTTGTTTGCATAAAACAATAACCGGAGACGTTTTAATAGTGTTTTAAAAGTGGAAACTGGTGATTTAGTGCATTTTTGACGTGGTAATTGCTCATAGAAAACAACGAAATTTAACAAAAGTTTTTTTTTATAACTTTTAAAAGGTTAATAATATTGGGCCTCCCCCTCCGGATCGTTAATAGGGGGACCGAAACGCATCGTTTGGTACCCCTCCCGACTTTTCCGGACCTTTTTTAGCAGTTGAAGCCCTATACTAGAGAATTACCGTTTGTGAACGTGAACATAAAAAAAAATAGATTGATTAACTTGCTGTTTTGAAGCAAAATTAAAAGGTTAGGATTTGGATAGTTGAAAGGGGATCGACCTTTTAGAGTCTGACTGGGGTAATAGGGGAACTCCCAAAATTTGTGTTAGAATTTAGTGTTTGATTTAAAATAAAATAAGTTATTTTGTACAAAAAAGAGCCATATTTATCGTTAAATGTGGCACTAAACGGAAGTTCTTTTAAAAATTATTCCACAACAATTTTATTAGTGATACTTAAACGAGGAAAATGATAAATACTGAACTTACGTTAACATATTTAAATGCTCACCTAAAACAATTTTAAATACATTTTGCTTGCTCCTAAGACTTTTTTCCCGTTATAAGTCATGCACACTTCTCGTGAAAATGTGCGTTCTAAGTTTTTAGACGCACTTCCATCAAGTAAATATTTTACGGCAGATACCTAAAAAGAAAAAAAGGACAATAATATTTTATTCAAGATATACAATATTTANAATTTTGCTTGCTCCTAAGACTTTTTTTCCCGTTATAAGTCATGCACACTTCTCGTGAAAATATGCGTTCTAAGTTTTTAGACGCACTTCCATCAAGTAAATATTTTACGGCAGATACCTAAAAAGAAAAAAAGGACAATAATATTTTATTCAAGATATACAATATTTATAATTAGTAATTACATATTTTTCCTCATTAATTTCAGCTTCCATCTTTTGAAGATCTTCTTCTGTTTTAAGCGGAAACGCTGTTGTTATGGCAGTTACGTTTTGTCGAGTTTTATTAAATGCTTGCAACTGAACTTTCTGATCGGCCATCATTTCCATTATAATCTTGTTTTGATTTTCTGTTGTTGCTGTAAAAAGTTAAAAAAATACAGTATTGATTACTCATAGCTTTATTCTTAAAAAATTGTTTTTAAAAAAGAGCTATCGATATATTAGCAATTCGTATTAAAATCACCTTGTAATTTCGAAAGGTTTTCTCTTAAAATTGTTTGATCGGTCATCATTTCAGTGATTAATTGGTTTTGTCTTTCAATCATTTCTACAATATATAACAAAAAATATTATTACTGGACGTATTAAGGTATTAAATACATTTTTTAGTAGCATCACATGGGACTTTCGTGACACGATCTGAAAAACATAATATTTGCCTTGAGAATTGTATCTATTTAAATAACACAGGCCGACAAAATAAGACCGATCTCCTTACCCAGAAACCAGATTATACTTTACCGAAAGTTTTCGGTGCGTTGAATTCAAATCTGACCACAGAATTGCTCTATCACATTAGGATTTTGAGATATTCTAACCTATAAGTGCAAAAAATGCCGTTCTTGCCCATTTTTGAAGTTGTGTATGCAATCCAGAGTAACTTTTCTCAAAAAAATATAAAAAGGCGTTGAGTTTGCTCAAATATCTTCTTGCTTCGCTGAGATATTACAATTTAAAGTTTACGGATTTTCCAATTTTTCTATATTTTGAAAATCATGTAAGTAACATAGCGACCATGTGTGCTATCCGCTGCACTTTTAACTTAAAATTGTAATATCTCAGTGTAGCAAAAAGATATTTGCGCAAACTCAACGCCATTTCAAAGAGAAAGACTTGTACCTTAACACCTTTTTTGTATTTTTTTTGAGAAAAATTACTCTGGCTTGCATACACAACTTCAAAAATGGAATTTTTTGCACTTATAGGTTAAAATATCTCAAAATCCTGATGTGATAGAACAATTCTGTGGCCAGATTTGAATTCAGCGCACTGAAAACCTTCGGGAAAGTATAGTCTGGTTTCTAGGTAAAAATTTTGTTGGCCTGTGTAATCAAACATTCTGACTACTCTTTTATACTCACAATTTTTTAGTTCGTTTCCTACAAAAGCATGCGATCTCTGTAGTTTTCCCGGTTCGTTTCATATTTCTATTATTTTTTGTACTGATGTTTGTATCTGTATTTTATTTAGTCTGTTCCAATAGCAGTCCGGTTTACAGGATTTAGTCAGAACTTACAGGAAGTCGTTCCTATTGACATAAAGCCTGTAAGTGGGAACACTTTTGAGAGAGTAACTGAGCAACTGTTCCTAGTCAGAAGTTACAGGATTTAGTCCGGAGTTTTTTTCCTGTAAGTTCATTAAAAGTGTCAAACGATCAGCTGATTTACATTTGCAAACAAAAACAGAAAGCGGTGACAGCAGAGAACCTTATATTTGTTAAAAAATGGAAGTAAACAACGAAATATTTGAATATGTATAGATTTTAACAATTAGTTAGTGATATTTCAGCCAAATCTGTGTTGTACAAAGGACATGTAAACAAACCGACTGACGTTTTTACAGGAAATAGTGCTTTTTGCGTTCCCGTGCACTTCTGTATCTGTTCTCCTTTTACTCTCACTTGAGAGAGTAAAATTGTAGTTTGACAGTTCCACAGGTTTTAGTCCGAAGTTCAAAGGAACAGATTAATTTTGTATGTTTTAATTATATTTTAGTTTTACTTTTAAGTGCACCCACGTAAAATTGGCATTAAAATAACTTTACTTTCATATGGCAGTGACAGAAGTGTGCAGCTAATTCTATCTGTATTATATATTTCCTCTGTTTATTCTAGTATACTATCGGCACTAAATTAATAAATAATAAATTAATTGGCACACTAACACAATCATACTTTCAGCTAGCGTTTACTTGTAGTAGGGATCACCGCTGCTCATATACAGGGTGTCCCAGAAGTAACCTGCCAATCTTTAGGGGAAGGTAGGTGGGGGGTAAGCTCCCTTATAAACAAAAAATATTCAGTTTAAAGTGTTACTGTTTGAAATATTTACATGTTTTTGAATTAAAATAAATCGTACCTTTTCATGTATTTTCTTTAACTGCATCTACAAACCAGGCTATACTTAGTAAACTTTTTATGTAAAATACTTCCAGATAGTTGCTTTTCCATACTCAAATGCAAATATTAAAGAAGAATCATAAAATTATGACTATTTTGGGATTATTAACTTTTTGATATTTTCTTCCCCAACTTTGACTATCTCTGGTGAAAAAAATGTAGTGAGCTATAACTTTACATTTTATGTTGTCCATTTAACAAAGATTTCAGAAGGGTGCAACTCTTACTGTTTCGATTAGAAAAAACACAGTTATAGCCGCTTTTGTGGGTAAAGGACTGAGACACGCTAGAATGTATTTAATAGATTTAAATTTAAGTTGCCCTTGCTACCGACCGATGGCATGCTAAATAGTACAAAGGTACATTATTACCTGCTCCTGACATTATTTTATTTTACTTACCGGAATTAGTGAAAGTGGATTTTGTGAAATTGGACGAACATTGTGTTATTAATACTATGACAGAGATCACGCAGTATATGTCGCATGAATATGCAGATATTCACCTAATTTACGGTGAAACTTGCTGTAATGCCAGAGCTGCTCAAAGACTCTATGCAGAGCGATATCCAAATCGTTGGCATCCGGGTCGTTAAGTATTCCCCCGCACCCATAGAGAAATATCTGAAGGTAAGTAATTTTTACACCTTTCTTGTTTGAAGCCATTCTTCTTTTAAATATCATCTTTAACTTTTTTAAGGTTTGTTTTTTTTCTATTCAAAACAGTAAGAGTGGCACCTTTCGAAATCTTTGTTAAATGAGCAAATTTTTTATGTAATGTAAAGTTATAGCTCAGTAACTTTGACGGTTGTTTGATTACCAATAAAAATTAAAAAAAAAATATTCAAAATCAAGTTTTTGTATTTCAGTTTGTTTTATGCGAATGTCTGCTTCATGATATTAATGCATACGGATTATTTAGATACGTCAAAATGTTTAGTTCGTATGCCCTACTTATCTCTGGGTACGACGAGACCTGACGGGAAATAACTAATTACCGCCTTGGCCTCTTTTTTGGCGGGCAGACATGCTTACAATTTTGATATTTTTTTATTCTTCTTTTAAATATCATCTTTAACTTTTTTAAGGATCGTTTTTTTTCTATTCAAAACAGTAAGAGTGGCACCTTTCGAAATCTTTGTTAAATGAGCAAATTTTTTATGTAATGTAAAGTTATAGCTCAGTANTGTCCATTTAACAAAGATTTCAGAAGGGTGCAACTCTTACTGTTTCGATTAGAAAAAACACAGTTATAGCCGCTTTTGTGGGTAAAGGACTGAGACACGCTAGAATGTATTTAATAGATTTAAATTTAAGTTGCCCTTGCTACCGACCGATGGCATGCTAAATAGTACAAAGGTACATTATTACCTGCTCCTGACATTATTTTATTTTACTTACCGGAATTAGTGAAAGTGGATTTTGTGAAATTGGACGAACATTGTGTTATTAATACTATGACAGAGATCACGCAGTATATGTCGCATGAATATGCAGATATTCACCTAATTTACGGTGAAACTTGCTGTAATGCCAGAGCTGCTCAAAGACTCTATGCAGAGCGATATCCAAATCGTTGGCATCCGGGTCGTTAAGTATTCCCCCGCACCCATAGAGAAATATCTGAAGGTAAGTAATTTTTACACCTTTCTTGTTTGAAGCCATTCTTCTTTTAAATATCATCTTTAACTTTTTTAAGGTTTGTTTTTTTTCTATTCAAAACAGTAAGAGTGGCACCTTTCGAAATCTTTGTTAAATGAGCAAATTTTTTATGTAATGTAAAGTTATAGCTCAGTAACTTTGACGGTTGTTTGATTACCAATAAAAATTAAAAAAAAAATATTCAAAATCAAGTTTTTGTATTTCAGTTTGTTTTATGCGAATGTCTGCTTCATGATATTAATGCATACGGATTATTTAGATACGTCAAAATGTTTAGTTCGTATGCCCTACTTATCTCTGGGTACGACGAGACCTGACGGGAAATAACTAATTACCGCCTTGGCCTCTTTTTTGGCGGGCAGACATGCTTACAATTTTGATATTTTTTTATTCTTCTTTTAAATATCATCTTTAACTTTTTTAAGGATCGTTTTTTTTCTATTCAAAACAGTAAGAGTGGCACCTTTCGAAATCTTTGTTAAATGAGCAAATTTTTTATGTAATGTAAAGTTATAGCTCAGTACATTTTTTTTCACCAGAGATAGTCAAATTTGGGGAAGAAAATATCAAAAAGTTAAAAATCCCAATATAGTCCTAATTTTATGATGGTTCCGTAATATATTTTAACTACATTGCATTTGAGTATGGAGAAGCAACTATGTGGAAGTATTTTACATAAAAAGGTTACTAAGTATAGCCTGGTTTGTAGATGCAGTTAAAGAAAATACATGAAAAGTCACGATTTTTTTAAATTCAAACAAATGTAAATATTTCAAAAACGGTAACACTTTTACCTGAACATTTTTTGTTTATCAGAGAGCTCACCCCCCCCCACATACCTTACCCTAAAGTTTGGCAGGTTACTTCTGGGACACCCTGTATATGTATGTGTATGAATGTGAATTACATGATTTTTCGGTTATTGACAATTATAAAAAGCAAAGGTATGAAAAACAGCATTTTTTAAAGTTCTTTCTAATATTACGTTCAAATTGGCCCATTTAACTTATTAAATGAAAAAGAGCTTTTTGGAAAACACAATCGGCCACATTGAACATTTGGAGTTAACTTTGACGGTTGTTTGATTACCAATAAAAATTAAAAAAAAAATATTCAAAATCAAGTTTTTGTATTTCAGTTTGTTTTATGCGAATGTCTGCTTCATGATATTAATGCATACGGATTATTTAGATACGTCAAAATGTTTAGTTCGTATGCCCTACTTATCTCTGGGTACGACGAGACCTGACGGGAAATAACTAATTACCGCCTTGGCCTCTTTTTTGGCGGGCAGACATGCTTACAATTTTGATATTTTTTGATAATTTTTAATTTTTAATATTTTTCAGAATATAAATTTTTTGAACGTTGCACACATGCCGATTTAAGCGGCCAAAAGTCGAATTTTCCAAACGCACTTTTTTCTNACAGATGCCGATTTAAGCGGCCAAAAGTCGAATTTTCCAAACGCACTTTTTTCTTTTTT